TCTATTTCGTTAAAACATTTTTCAATAAAAGAATTTGGATAATTATTAAAATTTAGAATTTCTTTTATAAATTGTTTTTCTTTGGAAAAATTAGAAAAAAAATTAAGGTTTCGTATTTCACGATTTGTTAAGTGTAAAATTTAAAGACTAGTTTCTGGCGGAAAATTGGTCTCAAGTGATGCAGTTTTTGTAGCAATTCGTAGCCATTTGAACACACTTGTATTTCCAGTAACTTGCCCCCTATATTTCAGGAAATATCTGTTTGTTTTAACAGGCAATTGATAACGTTTTAATTATTTAAACTATTAAGAACATGTAATAAATTTAAATCCATATTCCAGATCATTTCCAGTTAACTACTGGGACAAGTTCGTCAAGAAGAAAGTGCGGCAGAAGTATAGCGAAACCTATGATTTTGACTCAATCAGCAATCTTCTCGGGATGGAGAAAACTTCGTTTCAGCAGCAGGAAAGCGATGAAGGCAATAAAAGTATTTTTTGGTAGTAAGTACTTAAGCATTTTGACTCATAATCATGCTTGTACACGTTGCACATTGTTTTAGCATTATCAATATTGACTGGCGATATCAAGTCTGGAAATCTGGAGTAACCTTCACTGACAACTCGTTTCTGTACTCACTTTGGTACTTCGTCTTTTCCATCTTAGGAAACTTTAACAATTTCTTCTTTGCCGCTCATCTGCTAGATGTGGCAGTAGGTTTTAAAACGCTGCGAACCATTTTGCAATCGGTAACGCATAATGGTAAGCAGCTGGTCTTGACCGTGATGCTGCTTACGATCATCGTGTACATTTACACGGTGATAGCCTTTAATTTCTTCAGAAAGTTCTACGTGCAGGAAGAGGACGAGCAAGTGGACAGAAAATGCCATGATATGTTGACGGTGAGTTTTTTCCACGCATTCCAATCTTTTTCCATTCAATGGCATTTATAAAAATCACTTTAGTAAAGTTGAAAAAATAACTCAGGCCTCGCGTTCAGCAGCCTAGTTATGGTTCAATGGTCAAGTGTTAGTGTTCGTCTTTGTGTTCAAACAAATTTTAAAAATGTATTAGTGCCATGAAACCCAAAACTGATAATTGACAAAAGACTCTAATAAGTTGTTTATGATCAATATCGAAGTAAACCAGTTGTCCTATTTTCAAATCGTGATCATCTAAGGCTTCTATATAAAGTTTCGCAATGTTGAACGCTTCAGGTGATGCAATATCCCACAATTATTCTTTGGCATTTATCACTCTGATGGAGGTGATTCCATATTTGGACGTAGCTGATCTAGCGGCATGTTCGCAAGTGTGCCAACTTTGGAAAACCGTAATTCTTGAGAGCAACATCTGGAGCAAATACAAATTAAAAGTGTGCCCCAAACATTTAAGTGCCGTGCCAAAAGGTTTAGTGTCGTTAGTGAGCAAGCTTGAACTTGCTGACTTTTCACTGCGGGATTTGGGCTGTATGTCTGCACTATTAGAAAGCGCCGCTGAACTTACTGAATTGGAGTTAACAAAAATCGAAATTGAACTGTTGGACAAGATTCGAATTACTTGGGCCAATCTAGACGAGCTGCGAATCCGTCACAAACGAAATCGTCTGAACCCATTCACTTTCACGGTTTATACGCGTTGCACTAATTTAACTACTCTGTCTTTAATAATTAATTATCCAATACTGATCGACGATTTGAAATCGTTAAAACACTTGAAATCTTTGTATGTCGATGCCGATTATCGTCGGGGATTTTTTGTCAAGTATCACAAATTTCTGCGGAAGTTGCAATGTTTTGGAGTCGGTTATACGCAATACCGTTTGTCCCCTATTAAATACATATTTAATAATCAATTAGCGTTGTTGTTACGAACCGTTCTGATAGACATACAAGAACTGAAGCTCAGCGGGCTGGATAACGATTTTTTAATACTGCACGCTGTTTCGAGGCATCCGAAGCTTAAACGGTTAGAACTAGAACTTCGCTCTATATCGGCTAACTTCACTTATTTCTTCATTCGGTGCAAAAACATTCAAAAACTCAGCGTGAGATTCATGTTTGGCGGTATATTTGAAGCTAGCCAACTGGCCACACAAAACGGTGCCTTTTTACTCTTTGTGCAACAACTGGGCCAATTAACGGAGCTTGAATGGATTTTCGATGCCGACTATATGACCATAAATGAACAGATTAGTGCAGTAAGATGTAACGAATGGGTACCCGAACGAAGTTTAATTTATCTGTTGGACTCTGAAAGTATTCATAGCGAATCTAGCTCGAAAGCAGTTCCCTCGATTTTAACTTACTCGCTCAAGAAGCTGACTTTGAGTGAACTGGAACTAGTATTAGCTAGAAAATTTCCTAATGCAATAGTGAGAGTTCTGACGAATAAATACAGCACTAATTGTCATTATTGCATGCCTTTACGTCGAGAAAGGCAAGATGTGAATTTTTTCAGGTTTCTACAAAGGCTTGTTATATTAATCAAGCATGAATTACATTAATACTACTATTTTACATGCAGTTTTTATTAAATACCCTAACAATTTCATCCAGGTTTTTAGTCTAATTTAATCCAGAGTTAAATTGCCAACTCGCCAAAGATACATTCCCTTAGACTGTTTTTTTATATTTGTTTTTAGTCGCTTCACTTCGGTTTTTTTATATTGCAGTGTTTCGTATTCCATCTGTATAAAGGCGTCCGAGCCGGCGGTGGTATTGGTGATGAGATCGATCCTCCGGATGGTGATGACTATGAAGCATATCGTATTATGTTTGACATTACTTTCTTCTTCTTCGTTATCGTCATACTACTTGCTATTATTCAAGGTGAGTTTTCTAACACCAGTCCAGTTTCAATTATAAACAGTTCAGTCCGCATATTTTGAATGTGGAGAAGCTCGTACAAAGTGGAGGAGTAGGAACTGGTGATGTCCATACTGGACTAAATTCATTTATTCTATTTAGAAAGTCGTTCACTAAAGGTACATTCTTTTACAACAAATGGAACTATTTTTTATTTAATTATTTTTTTTGAGTTCAAAATATTTTATTTATGGAAAAAGCTCAGCCCAAATACGGATCTCCCCACATAGCAAAATGATATTCCCAGAATATACCTGGAACATTCATGTGATGTACATGCATTTATCCTGGGACATACATGAGTTACATTATGAACATTCCATGCATGTCCCAGGAATCTGTCAGAGTTAATACACTGAATGTTCATGATATGTTCTGGGAATGTACATGTGTATGTTCTGACAATGTACCTGGTATGTTCAGTGAATGTACATGTGTATGTTCTGACAATGTACCTGGTATGTTCAGTGAATGTACATGTGTGTGTTCTGACAATGTACCTGGTATGTTCAGTGAATATACATGTGTATTTTATGGGAATGTACATGGTATGTTCAGTGAATGTACATGTGTATGTTCAGTGAATGTATATGGTATGTTCAGGGAATATACATACATATATGTAACGA